GTCCTGCTACCGAGAATGCCCTTTCCAATTTAATTGTTGTTAGTGGAATCGTCTGTAATGCATTTAAGAGAAGACAGATGTTATATGTTGATATATGACAGATGTTATATGTTTTTTTCACTTGTAGCCTGGAAGATTTCGAGTTCGTTTTCAAGATTGAAGTACTTCTTTTGCTGTCTAGTATTCTTGATTTGTCTATCTTGGATGCTTTAATAGCAGCATCAAGCTTTTAGCCTGATAATTTGGCAGTTCATTTGGCTTTAATAATCAGATTTATGAAGAAAAACTTTATACTTGCAGACTTCGTACTCGTTTGTATCCTTGCCCAATTTGCACAACCTGGTGTTATGCAGTTATCGAATCTACTGGGCATGGTTAAAAATTAAGACAGCATAAGCACAATTGTTCCAGATATTACAGGTTCCGACAAGTAAAGAATTTTCAGTCATGCCACAAATATGCTACGTACTGATTATTGATCATTTGTGACATGCCATAACAAACAAAAATTGAAAAAACTAATAAGTAGGTTTAAAATTAATAAATACAAATGTATTCTGACAGTTTGTGAGTTAATTATGCTTTCTATTTGCAAAATTTCCTCAATCTTCAAAATAAGAAAAAAGTGAATTTTTAAGAAATTTGTGTGATTTCCTGGGATGAGAAGAATTCCTGGAATATTTCCTGGGTTAAAAAAACAACTGAGATCTCAGGATCTTGTTTGGGAAACTCTAATACAGATGTTTATATGTTTATCTATACCTTGCTGGGTATGCGATGGCCAACTGAGTGCCTTGTGTGGATGTTTTCTGGACAAGGACGTTGAATTCGTCCCCAGTCGGACCATAATAACCGATGATGGTTACAGCTTAAGGTTAGGCAGTTGTTGATGTATCAGAGTTTATCCAATGGCACGAAACTATGTTCTTGGACATGGAATATGTGGCATAACTCTTTCAAGTGGCTAATCATTACATATGATGCCAAAGCATACAACATAATATGATTTTTGTTCTTTTCAGACCTATCTGAACTAGGAACATAGTTGGTATTGATGTTAAAGAGAAACTACATTCCAATGATTCTCCTATGTGCATCTGTTTGTGTAGTCCCAAACATGCTCAGTTGTTATGTCAAACCAATGGCATAGGTCAAAACACATTCTGTACAGTATAAGATGCTTGCATGGGACTGAAAGCATTTTCAGATTTACATTGTAAATCTGAAAATGCTTTCAGTCCCATGCAAGCATCTAGACTCGTTACATAATGGACTGCAGATTTTGGAAGCCTCTGTAGCTGATACTAATACCATTTTAAAATGTTTGAATATATCATTACGTAGCTTACCTCGGGGGGCTACCAATCTATGACATTATAGATGCAACTGTTCAATTCTATCAGGGTGTGTAATGTTTTTGTCAATGAGTGTCTTTCAGGGTTGCCACTTACGACATATGAAAAACTTGGGTCTAGATGGGAATAAACCCAGATTAAAATGTAGTTATAAATACTTTATCATAGTATATTCATGCTGTTATAATTACAGACACTATAATACAAATTTAAAAAAACAATTTATTACCTAATTTACATGGTAGTTAATGTTATTTCACAGCTATTCTGTTCTTCTTCTTCCATTAACAGTACTGCACAATCTTTATGCTCTTCTTGTCACTTCTTATACCTTTGGTGGCAAACTCCTTGTATTGACTGCTGCATCTCTAAATTGGTTCAGGTTCATACAGTGAACAGCTAAGATTTTTCCTACTGATTGCTTGGTTAGCAAGCAACCTGTTCTTTGATGATTCAATAGTTAAGTAGCTGGAGTTAAGATGTTGCTGTTTGTGTCGCTTTAGCAAATCATTGCAGGGCATGATTTCATAGCTTGAGCAGGTGCTTAAGTATATCTGAGTGTTTTTAACTCCATGTGATTCAGGATTCAGCATATAAAGTACTATGCTTTTCGTTTTTGTTTCTAAAATCTAAAATTTTTTATTATTTATGTTATTTTATATTTATTGAAATAAAATTTCAGAATAAATAAGTAAAAAATTTAATCTTAACAAAGACACTTTAGATTTTAGAAACAAAAACAAAAAGCATGGTAACCTGACAAGAAAGGGAGCACATGCCCCAATGTACAGGCACCCCTGTATCTATCTGTATTTGGATTTGGTGTTCTGTGGCCAGACTGGCTAATTAAGTTTACTCCATCCCAGTCAACTACACCATCCTTGGACAGCAAATGAATACATTAGTGCCACAACAAAACCCATTCAAACATTATTTAAAAGAACATTTAATCTGGAATGAAAAAGGACCATTACACAACTGCATTAGCCAGTCTGGCCATGGAAAACCAGATCCAAACATACATAGATAGGACCTAACTACTATAACTAGTACAAGCAGCCAGAATGCAATTATTCACATACACCTTGCAAAGCTAGAAATATATAGCTTGTAAGAAACATATGGCTATAAATTAAAAAGCTATCAACACCCTCCCTCAATCTTGGAAATTTCTATTTGAAGTTCAGCAATAAATAGTATATGTAACATCAACAATCAATCAGATGACTTCTCTTCCTTCAAATTAAGACAATAGAGAGGTTGCAGCTTAAGTTCAAATGTTAAACTTGTATGGCAAGCAGATGTACACGTTTGACATTTGAACTCCAAGTAAAACACGTTGTGCCACACGTTCACGTCACACACTGAATCATGGGATATTGTTGAAAAATGGCAGAAACGTTTAACTACGATGAATGTTACCAGTGAAGGTAAATAAACAAATTAAACTATTTTAAAGTATTTATAGGATGTTTAATAACACTAAATAATTATTTTTAATTAGCATTGTGTCTCCTACTTTATGATAGGACGATAGGACTACCTCATACTTTTGTTGAGGGAAGTAGTGGCTTATGTAAATCTGAAAGCAGCTCGGGAAATTATTTTTAGAAAATTTACAAATGTTTACGCTGTTGATGGTAGAAGATGCTGTGAAAAACCCACCTACTCCTACAGAATTATTATAAGCTATCATAAACACAAATATATGTAAATTCTATAGGCATTTCACATCACTTGCAAAAAAATTGAATAATTAAATAATTTCTGGATTAAAATCGTGTTTCTTTACAATATTATTCATAAATGCTTAAATAATCTTTATTTTAATAAAATACATTATAATTTTAACTCCAAATACAAAAAAAGTGAAGTTTAAGCCCAAACTTCTACTTGCCATGTTAGACATAACAAACACCATTATCTACCTTCTAGAATTACCAGATGGCAGTGCTCAACGTCCATTGTTCACATTTTGGGCTAAAAACATTGACTGCAACCTCTCTATTCATTCACTTGTGTGTGGTTTTTTTTAAACTCTGCATATTTCAACCTGATAGTGATAGCTAAAATTATGGAAAATGTTTGTTTTCTTATTAAATAATTTTTGTTTTATGCTAGAGTTTTGGTTATTTTTTCTAAAAAATTCTTTTAAAAAATTAGATTTGAATCCAGAAGAGTCATGGGATATACACTTATAGGTTAGAATGCCACAGACTATTCCACCCACTCATGAATGTTTGTGCCACAGTGTATAAATGCAATAGCTTAAAATTGATTCCTGTTTTCCTTGAAAATGCTTAGGATTGAGGATTTTTGACTAGTACATATAGGTTTAATTACACATGTTTACCTGATGTAAATATTTCATGTTTAAAATAAAAGTTTGCTATTTTGTTGCGTTCCCTTGTTAGTTTACCTGTGGAATTCTATTATTTCTTAAAATTAGTTATAAATAAATAAATAAATGTAATTATTTTGGATAATTTTATTTATGTACATGTTACATTTTCATTTCACATTATGTTTCTAGTCAGAAGATAAAATCAAATTACTCATTTTACCAAAAACAAATTATTGGAATTATACATTAATAACACAGTTGGGCACTTTACAGATATTCTGGCATGAGATGGTTATTATTTTTATACTGATATTGATTTAATATTTGGATAATATATTCATTGTTTATTGGTGAATAAATTACATTTGCTTATTATCCAAACATTTAAATCTTTGGCATAAGCTTTTAGGAATAACCCTGTTTAGATAGTTACCAGAGCAGAAAATAAATAAATCTTCACACTATATAATGCCTTTTATGATGTAATTTAAAATTTGAATTGTTTTAAAAGGTAGTTAATATTTTAATGGAAATCTTTTGTTAAATTATAATCAATCTCTAATATACATTCAAGTGTTTATGAAATGTTTATAGATTACACAGGAGAAGGAAATTTTGTTAATTTATGTATATGATTTACAAAGGCAAAATACAATACAATGTTACATAATTACTTGCAGGCACATTTTTTCCATAAGGTTAATATAATTCAAATTTGCAAATATATTGGCAGGATCATTTAAGGACATACTGTATATTATACTGTACCTCTATCGTTGTATTGTATGAAACTAAAACTATGATAACTGTAATTTATTTTTTCCTTCCTTTTTTATATAACAGATGTTTAATATTTTTAAATGAATTCTTAAAATTCTTTCAGATTTTTCAGTAACATTTCTATATAACTACCACATAAGGCTATAAATGGCAGTTTGCATAGATTGTATTTCATTGCACTGTTCATTTTGAAATATTTATATATTATTACAGAAAAAATAAATGAATAATATTATCATTTGAATAGTTTTGTTTAAGATATTNAGTTATTTTCCTCTCTTTTCTACATAAAAGTAATAACAGTAATTAAAATAACGTTTACTAATTTACATAAAGTGCAACTCATATTCACTAATTTACACGATGTACAAGCTCGTGTGCACTAATTTATACTATGTAGAATTTTATAAAAATGGAAATGACAGTATATAATTACTTTAGAACACGTTTAATAATGTTTAAATGATTTAAAATAACGTCTGCTTTACCACATAATTCACTTTAAGCTGTGAATAGACGAATAAATTTATTTATTTATTAAAGTACCCTTACATGCCATAATATAATTTACTATTTTGGCACATGTAGGTAGTAATAATGTCTCTGTAATTGCATGATCTTATCACAGTTGCCAACAATGCAAACTCTGTTCAGATTGACAAATACGGGAACAGTAATTACATCTGCATTTTTTGGTTCTTGGCACTAGGAACTATCTGGACTAATAAAGTTCAATTGTATTCATCATCTTGGAAATGTTGAAGGCAATGTATTTGTTTCAAGTGACTGATTTCCTTCTTTTGTCATTTTCTGTTTATCTGTACCATATATGCCAAGTTTTATACCAACTTCACGAACTGAACCACTTATTGAACTTCTTCTTAAAGTGGGAAAAGGACTGTAAGTTTGAGCATAAATTTGTTCTCTTCTTTCTTTAAAAGATGAGAGAGTTGGAGTTTTAAGGGTTCTGCTTTCAATTTTTGATTCTTCAGGTTCTTCTAACTTTAGTTTTGCATTGTCATCATCTTCGTCATCATCTGTCTTAGTAGGATCATCACCACCAACATCATCATTTCTTTTAGTAGGATCACCATCACCATCACCATCACCACCACCACTATCATCATCATCATCATCATCATCAGATGGAAGTATATTTTCACTATCAGAATCACTACTTAAACTTTTTGTCTTTAGCATGTCAGAAGAATTTTCAGAATTGTTTTGCTTTGCTTCGCTACTTGTATCATCTGTATCAGAAATTTTAATATCATCACATTTGTCATTTAGTGATTTCTCTGATAATTCAATATTGCTGCTTACAGAAGAGGGTGATGATGACGATGATGAGGATGATGATGTAAGTGAGCTGCTTTCAGATTGCCTAGATGAAGATTCTTTGATTGATTTATCAACTTCTAAAGTAGTTTCACTTTTAAATGATTCATTATTTTCTGTTAAATTATTTGGCCTTTTACTCCAATCATAACCCTCTCTAGTTGATATGGAAGTTTTTGAAACAGTTCGATTTGTATTGATTGTTTTATCAACAATGGTCACACTGCTTTTAACTTCTTCCTTTGAACTGGTGATATTATCTTTGTCACTTGAGTTGTTAGTAGACTGAGAAAATTTTCGATGAGGTTCTGGTGATGACATATAATCACTAGGTTCCGTTATGTCTTCATCACAAAGTTCAGTGGAGCTACTACTTGTACTGCTATTATCAGATATTTTACTATTATCTGAATCAATAAAATTTATTTTTATATCAGATTCATTTTTAGTTTGATTTGAATCAGCATTTTTGTTAGAACTATCTTTGCTTTTTTCTCTGCTAGATTTCTTTTTTTGTTTTTTGACTTGTGTCCAAGAAATAGTTTCACCTGATTCTTTTGGAAGTGTTGCTTGTTGTTTAATATGCTTACTGTAATGTTTAGATGAATATGTTGGAGATTCTTTCTCTTTCATAGGCTTCATTGCAAATGTTGTTACTGGAGATCTTTTATTTTTCCTAACTAAAGGCTTTTTCCCAAGAAGTAAATGATTTACAGCAACTGGTCGATGAGCTTTATTACTAATGTGCTGTTGAAAACCTCCTAAATATAAACAAATTTCATATATATTAATAAAAAGCATCATTATTTACAAATTGTAATATATTAATTTATGCATTTTAACTGAGTTATTTGAAATAGGACACTTATCAGGTAATTGATTAATGGCATATAACTTATCAATAGAGTATTCAAATATTACATAATGCCTTTTTATGATGTTTTCATACTGCCTTCCCCCTCTGTAATGCTAGCTCAACTTCCCCATAAATATTTCATAATGCATTGGAAACAAACCCCCAAAAAATATATATATTTTATATACAATACATAAAAGAGTAAGCACTGATAGCTATTACACTAGATGGCTAGAAGGTCAAGACAGTTAAGATTGCAGCTTACTTCTCTAGGGACATGGGATTGAATCTGTTCCAAAAACCCAGGAATTTTTCTTGGTCAGTTTGTCTCAGCTTTGTCAAACCCATCCCTTACCATCTGGGTCACCCCCCCCATTTTAGGTCTAATCAAACTCAAAATGAATATGATTATAAAGGCCCTCTAGTACTCAAAGGGATCAAAAATAAAAAAACACCCTAAAATCAATAAGTTGCTGATAAAATACACTGTAAAGGTATGAAAATTGTTTTTTTCTGCTGAACAGGTAACTGTATAAAGAAAACTGTTTTTTTTTTTTTTGCAACAAATGAGGTTTGAAATTGACAAACATTTGAAACATGTATAAATTACTAAATTACATTATTATGTTTTTCCATATATAATTATAATACAGTAATCCCTCCATTTATGTGAATTCACATAAAATTTTTAAACTTAAATAATCAATTTTATGGAAATAAATGATAGTTATGTCAGAAAGTGTGTTTTCTGTTATCAGTAACGTTTCATATAGATGTATATTTAAAAATCTTTAATTAAAACTTTTGTATCCAGTAAGGTAAAATTCTGTATTTGAGAATATGGAACAACTTCTTATCTTAAACAGCTTTTTGTGGTTCCATTAATATAATTTTCATTTACATGCTGTTTTTGTGAAAAATTATTCGTGTAAATGAAGGAATTACTGAATCTAAAGTTACTATTAATTTTCCATGACGATTAGAAAAAAACATTCAAAGCTATCTCAAATTATCTGCAAGTTGGACAAAGTAGAATCCTATGGAGAAGAATTAAAATTATGTTATAACTTGCATTTTTAATATGAGCCAAATTGTTTTTACATTTTTTAAAAGATTTTTTAATGATATTACAGTATGTAATGCAAGGCTAAACTCTCATAATGCTAAAACTTACAAACACTTTTCCTTATTCAGCATTATGTAATACTTGAATGATTCCTTGGCAAAGAAAGCAAATCTAATAGTTTTGTTAATTTAAATTAATAATTTTTGACAAATTTATAAAAAATTATATCACAATTTTTTCCAAGTTTATAAGATATGCAAGTTTGTGATTTCATGTGGTCTACAACCATTAGTACAATTTAACTAATTTTGACCTTTCACTCTTTTCAACCTTCCTCTTAATTGTTTCCTCTGAGTACTAATAGTTTAGAAGACAGTTTTGGTGACCAGAATATATGAGGATTCAACTTGTGGTCAGCCAAAAAAAAGAAAGAAAAAGTTCAGTTAATGAACTAATAGCAGAGGAGGACATTCTAAAATATTGGGATTGACACCAAGTGACAATAAAGGCAGACATATAATTTGGGATCTCAGTAAAAATAAAATTGTTGTACCACAAGGGCAAAATTAGAAATAAGCAAAAATGTTTTTGGTATATTTTGAAATTTTCAACTTTGATTTACCTATTAAGTTTTTGAATTTTTTGCAAGTTTTTTAATTATTTATGCAGTTGTCAATCTAATAGTATGTTGATTTGTGCCTAATCTTGACTAATTTGCACTAAATGGCATTTTAAGTACAATTTTATTAATTCTAAATAAAAATTTCCTTCTAATGTCATCATTCTTAGCTTACTAATCACAGTTGTTACTAACCAGTATTCCTGTACAGAAAAATTTCTTGTTCAAAGGTGTTTGCATAATTTGAAATAATTAAACTATTTACTAGTTTATATTTTTAAAAATCTGAATAATTTTTACTGTTAACATTACATTGATAATTTAAATATATTCAAAATCCATGTCTGACTTTAAATTAATAAATAAAATTATAACTTAATTCAAAGTAGATAAAGATACAATTCAGAATTAACTAACTGAATGAAAACAGCATATAGTTTTTATTCTTTAAAACTATTTCAGTGTTCTGGAAAAAAAAGAAATGACTATGATTATTATTAAAGCATTTATATTAAATTTATCTTTAGCACCCATATTTGTACTATACTATATATATTATATTGTATGATGAAATAATTCTATTAAATAAATATTAAATTAACTGATTTACAAATATACTATTCTGTTTTAATTTATGTATATGCTGTATAGTTAGTTCATAATTTACAATATCCTGTAATCATTATCAAAATAGGAGACAATAACCTCAAGTTACTCTGACACCATATCAAGGATATATCCAAAAGAAAATGTTTTTATTTTATTAAATACTTCGTTGCTGGAAATACTAAGGTGTTTGATTATTTTAAGTATTTATATTCCAGTAAGTTATTTTATTTTATATCCAAAAGTGCTTAATTCAGAGAACCAACAAATACTTTCAAAGAAAAATTTTTGTTCTATGCCTGGAATAAAAATGTTTACTCAAAAAAAATTTGTTGTCTCCCATTTTTGGATACATTCAAAATAGGAGAGCTTCAATTTCAAACAGTATGAAATGTAAAATATAAGTTAATTTTTTATCTTAAAATTTTCTTATTTTATTTCACTTAAAATAATATATTATCATTAAGAATATTTAATTCATTAAATATTGCTTTAGATTAAAAAATTATTTATTATTAAATATGAAAAAATCCAGCAACAAAATTGTGTAACTTTCCTGGCTGTTAAAAATATTTTTAACTATAATAAGTAAAATTGTGTGGCACCATCTATGAGGGTGTGGCACCATCTTTTTCAACCTCTGATAGTTCATAAAACAAAGAAAAATGTAAATAACAAAATGAATTTATTAGAGATAAAGGTGGTATTATGGAACCACTCCATTTTGAACTGATAATGAAGGCAAACTGTAGCGTAGGGATCCCCAAACTTTTTATCCTGTGGACCCCTTTATAAAATATTTGCCTTTTTATCAACCCCCAGATTAAGTATTTAACAAAAACATTAAATCATTTTTGCATTTCTAATGTTAAGCAATAAAGTGTCCTACATAACAACCCAAGAAAAGAATTTATAGTTCCCATATCTTATAAAATCCATCCAATAACATTAACAGAAAAAGGAGATCTTTTTCACTGATTTATGATCTTAAAAAATAATAGCAAAATTATGGATTGATGGAAATTTGCCTATAGTTCTTAAACTGTACGTGTCATAATATGTAAAATACACACTTATCTTTGAAAACATAAGTTATATTGGATGAAAAAAACCTCTTACTGTCATTTTGCAACTACTACTGAATTCCTTAAAAATATGTTGACATGCCTTTAATAAAAAAACACCCTAAAATCAATAAGTTGCTGATAAAATACACTGTAAAGGTATGAAAATTGTTTTTTTCTGCTGAACAGGTAACTGTATAAAGAAAACTGTTTTTTTTTTTTTTGCAACAAATGAGGTTTGAAATTGACAAACATTTGAAACATGTANAAAAGAATTTATAGTTCCCATATCTTATAAAATCCATCCAATAACATTAACAGAAAAAGGAGATCTTTTTCACTGATTTATGATCTTAAAAAATAATAACAAAATTATGGATTGATGGAAATTTGCCTATAGTTCTTAAACTGTACGTGTCATAATATGTAAAATACACACTTATTTTTTGAAAACATAAGTTATATTGGATGAAAAAACCTCTTACTGTCATTTTGCGACTACTACTGAATTCCTTAAAAATATGTTGACATGCCTTTTTATTAAAATAGTTGATATTAGTGGGATGGATGAGTCTGAAGAGAAGCAGCAAGATTATTGATATGTGGTTGAAAATTGGTAAGTTATAGTCACAAATCACCACAGTTTTCCAATTTCAATCTGTTTCTCTGTTTTGTCAAAATTACGTTTGCGTGGCTAAAACCAGCTTCAACCATGTATGAAGTTGGGAATACAAGTAAGAAAGGTTTGGCTTCTGCTCTGAGCTTGGGATATTTAGGGCAATATTGTTATTGCTTCAAAATTCACTGAGATTTTTATTTTTAAACAACGCTGTAGCTTCGAAATCTATACATATTTCACTCAGTTCATCTTCTAAACCAGGTTCACTACCTTCATTATCTATTTTTACATCAAATGGATTAGCAAACCATTTGGGAACATGCATATTCTCCAAGTCTTCAAAACGTGCTTTAAAGTCTTCTCTTAATTTATCAAGATGTTTAATATATATTTCCAAATCACAGTCAGAAATCTTTTCATTTTCTTTTAGTACTCACAAGTTTTAAAAATATTTAAAATCGGATCGTGCCAGTGAAGATTTAAATAGCTCCATTTTTACTTGAAAGGCCATAATGATTTTTTGAGCTTGAACAATTTTAATGTTTTTTCCTTGCAAATGCTTCTGTACTATATTAATGATTTTCGATATATTACGATATTTTCTCTGTAAAGGGCAAAATATCTACATTTAGATATAAAATACTTAGAGTGTCAACCCTACTAGAGTGTAACAGTGCAACGTATGTCTGTGTATAATGAACTATTAGAGTTCATAACATGTTTGCAACACTAGTACAGTTGCCAGATGCGTGAAAACAGAGTAACACATGCTTAAAGTGGCATAGGCTAAGGCAAAACTGAACTTATAACTAGGGTAGTCAGTAATGTTGTTGATCGTACCTGTATTTTGAATTTTTATTGGAATATTCTATTTTTTTCCTAGACAGTTTAATTGATCCTCTTTGGTATTAATCAATTCCCTTTCGACCCT